TTTATCGTGTGTCTGAGTGCCTGAATCGCTTAATAATGAATCGCTGTTGTAATACGGAAAAGGTAGATATGTTACTAGTGTTTGGCGAATGAAACACCGATTAATAGTATCGATGATCTTCGAGAACGCATAATAAGGGCCTGCAGAAGCATAAAACATTCCAGTTTAGTTGACGCTACACATAATAATTTATTGAAAAGAGCGGAACTATGTGTTGCGGAAGGTGGAATGCAATTTGAACATCTACTTTAACTAGTATGTTATTACGTTTGTTTACTATTTACGTTTCTAGTGAACTTCCTCGATAGCGAAGAATTACGCTTTAGCGAATTTAAAATGGTTTATTTTGTGTTGCAATGTAACTTAAAATAACATTGTGTGTACTCATTGAATTTGTTTTGCTATCCTCTACATTATTATTAAAAAAAAAAAATACAATGGTTCCATTTAAAAAAGTCAAGGTGACCTTGTTTTTTTACGGAAAAAAAATGTTTGGTCAATTTTTATTATTGCAATTTGTTGCCGGTTAGAAACTGATAAATTTCTGTTTATGACTTTTTTATGTCAGATTATTGTAAGTGCCTTAAAAATCGTGGCGACAGTTACGAGGACCACCCTGTATAGTTATTGTTGTATCTGAGCTCACAGTCAGCACAGTTAACTGCAATCCTCAGAGATACAACAGTATATAAATTGAATTAGTGATACAAAATCAAATAACATCTGTTACAAGATCTTTTGCGCACCGTTGAATTTTTTCCACAATGGCTATAATAAAATGTTTGCTCGACAAAATAATTATTATCATTCTGAACATAAGCATTATTTTTTCATTTTTATATTTTTTACATTAATTTTATTTAATTGGTTTAACAAAGCGCTATTGCAAAAACTAATAGTAAAAAATAAATTTAAAGCTATTGCATTTTTAGCTTCTTAAAAATTTAAGATTCTGTTGCTTTACTGCAGACATATCGCCTGCTAACAACTTGCTTTTGACTTTATAATTTAATGAAATTGTAGTAAAGAATCAAAATGTAAAGCTTGAAGTTTCGAGATACATAAATGCTCGCTGAAACAGATAGCTTTATACTATACATACCGGAATGCTCAGTGCATTGTGAAAAAACAGACACAAAAAAAGAAGCAGGTAGCAAGTTGCTCTTCTTTCTCTGTGTATCTGTATAATTCATTTCTTTTTCTTTTTAGCATAGCATTAGACAAAAATAAGCTCAGATTGTTTGTCTCTTACTCTCGTCACATTTGCTTTTATTTATAAATGAGCATTCCAGTATAATAGAAAGTTGATTATCGAATCATGATAAAAGCTATACTGATCAAATGATAAGGATACCTCGCTATTGCTTTCAACTTGTGTAATTCATTGTTTTTATATATTGTAATTTTTTCTTTTTATTTAGGATTAATTATTCTTATCAAATTATGAAACATAAAAGTCATTTTTATTTATAATTATTTTACCTTTAGTCATCGCATTTAATCTTTAGTTATCACATGTTGAAAAATGTCGTCATAGTCGAATTTTGAAAGTGCCCGCGTATCCTATGAGATGTATGCATATATGCAATACCCTCTATTTCTTTCCTTTTCCATCACTATAAAAAAACAAACGCTCTATCCAAAATAAAAAAAAAAGTTTAATTTATTTTTTGGTGCCAAATAAAAGCCATGATTTTAATAAAAATATTATAAAAGATATTTGCTCGAGAGATGGCTCGAAAAAATGATAAAATCAACCGTTATTTTTTTTCGTTTAAAATGTGTCTCAAAATTTTTTCTAGAGCCTAAGACTATTTTCACTATAATTTTCGGACTCAGCAAGTGAAACTGAAAAGAAGGCGAACCCAATGATCTGCCTACTCCCCAAACTACCTGAAACGCATATCCTTCTTTTTCTTATTCTTTCATTGTATACTAATACAAGGGCAACTGCAAAAATCCCTTTGAAATAAATTCCAAGAAGAGAGGAAAGAGATAGTCTCGAAATTTTTCTTCAAAGAATTATTCATTCTTGCCTTACCTTTTCAGTTTCATCGACCAATCAAAACCAAGAAATCTATGTCTTCTTTATCCTGATTGGTAAGTCTAACGTTTCATTCTAACGAAGTACTCGTTCAGTCTAACGAAGCATTTCTAACACTGAACAAAGTGCATTTTCAGTCTAGACTATATCAAATAAAGTGAATATTACAGACCCATGGCAACAGTTCTAGAATCTTCAATAAACTCTACGCACTCACATTAGTGATTTATTATATATATAAGTATATAAATAAAATAGTGGTACAAAAGCAGTCAATAATTAGATTGTTGCCAGCTGTTTTGTGCATCGTTGAGTTTTTTCCGATGGCTACGATAACACACTTGCCCGAGGATGTGATTATCATCATTCTAGAAGAGAAGAGCATCAGCGTGCAGGATATCGTGAATTTTAAGTCCACATGTAAAAGATTCCAGCAGATAATACTGCCCAACAAGTTTTGGGAAAGAAAATATTATTACAGGTATTTTTTCACATTTATAAGATAATTATATTAATTTATTTATACCTTTTTTAATATTACATTATATTATTTTAATATTACATTATATTATTTTAATATTACACTCGGTCAATTTTCGTCACTCAACAAAGTACTTCTGCAAAAGAAAAAAAATAGTAAAAAAGTAACGTTAAAATTATTACATTTACTTTTTTGTCAATGTTAGTGTGTGTGTTTGTGTGTGTGTGTGTGTGTGTGTGTGTGTGTGTGTGTGTGTGTGTGTGTGTGTGTGTGTGTGTGTGTGTGTGTGTGTGTGTGTGTGTGTGTGTGTGTGTGTGTGTGTGTGTGTGTGTGTGTGTGTGTGTGTGTGTGTGTGTGTGTGTGTGTGTGTGTGTGTGTGTGTGTGTGTGTGTGTGTGTGTGTGTGTGTGTGTGTGTGTGTGTGTGTGTGTGTGTGTGTGTGTGTGTGTGTGTGTGTGTGTGTGTGTGTGTGTGTGTGTGTGTGTGTACGCGCACGCATGCACATGCCTGTTGAATGAATACAAATTGAACACGTTTCTGATCACAATTTAATATGATTTTAGTAAAAAATTAAAATATAGTAAAGCCAAAATCTTAACGCATTTAAAGGCTAAACGAGTCATGATAAGATATCGATCAATTCCAAGCTACGCGTCATTTGATAAAGATAGCCTGCTATTGCTCGCAGGTCATGACATTGCTCATTACCATTGTGGATTTAAAAGTGAAATTATAAAATTTTTCTCTTAATATATTTGTCTAGGCTTAATTATTATTTTAAATTATATACACAAAAATTAATCTGTTTCTTACTAATGTTTTTGGTCATTGCATACTTAAAATGTATTTTGCTTTTTATACATAAATTATTTTAAATTATTAAAAATTTAAATTATATATATATATATATATATATATACTTTATATATATAATTTAGTGAATGAGTGTAAATAATGACGCCAATTGCTTCGATATATCTCGATTTCCGCGGATGCAATAATATATATGTATATGGATATATATTTTATATTTGGAGGCCTCTTTAGACGATCTATAATTCACGACATTATAAGAACACAAATTGACATGTTATGTGTGTCACATATTTTATTACATACCTGATATACATTTTGATTTGTATATTTGTTACGAATTCCAATTTTTTGTGTATTACACACTATATATATATACATATAAATGATCTATAATTTGTCATAAAAAATGTTAGAATGTTAGTATGTGTGTTTGTGTGTGTGTGTGTGTGTGTGTGTGTGTGTGTGTGTGTGTGTGTGTGTGTGTGTGTGTGTGTGTGTGTGTGTACGCGCACGCATGCACATGCCTGTTGAATGAATACAAATTGAACACGTTTCTGATCACAATTTAATATGATTTTAGTAAAAAATTAAAATATAGTAAAGCCAAAATCTTAACGCATTTAAAGGCTAAACGAGTCATGATAAGATATCGATCAATTCCAAGCTACGCGTCATTTGATAAAGATAGCCTGCTATTGCTCGCAGGTCATGACATTGCTCATTACCATTGTGGATTTAAAAGTGAAATTATAAAATTTTTCTCTTAATATATTTGTCTAGGCTTAATTATTATTTTAAATTATATACACAAAAATTAATCTGTTTCTTACTAATGTTTTTGGTCATTGCATACTTAAAATGTATTTTGCTTTTTATACATAAATTATTTTAAATTATTAAAAATTTAAATTTAAAAAAGTTTATTGATGTATTAATAATTTTTTTCATTTTTTAACATTATTTTAATATTTTACAATTTTATATTTTAATTTTAAAATTTGCTATAATATGATTATATAATATAATTATATAAA